CAGGATGTTGAGAGTGCAATACCAGGAGAATGGGAGGGGATTATAACAACAGATAATAGGGGACATAAACGCCTTGATTATTGTAAAACAGCAGTAATAACACACGGAGCATTACAGCATTTGATAAAAGAAGTTGAAGATTTACAGAAGGAGGTTAGAAAGTTCAAAGGTGAGGCATCACCAAAAGCAAAACCGAAAGCAAAAAGTAAAAACTAATTATTATCTAAATATATTTATATATGGGTTCTAAAACATCAAAATCTTGTGCAACTGAAAATATGAAGCAAATAAAAGAATTAGATATTGATGAAAAAACCAAAACGGATATATTATTATTTAATACTTTAAAAGATGTAATTGAAAGAGTTGAGCGTCTCGAGGAAACAAAAAGCGATAAAATCACATATCGTTTGCCCGCGGTGAATTTATGTTCGTATTCATTAATTTAATAATATTATGATGAAATAATATTATTAATCATCGCCTTCATCAATACTAAATACATGTTGAAAATTAATATAAAACATTTTATTAATATCTTTACTATTCATATTTATATAAAAGAATGAATAAGGAGCATAATTAACCGCTTTTTGGTACATTTCGTATAATTGTTTTTTATCAACTAAGGCGCTCGATGAATGCTTGAACTTCTGCCATATTTTTTAACCTAAAAATATACATCGATGACGCATTTAATCTAATAATTGGGGCAGTAGATGAATACTTTTGAAGACTTAAAATACAACTAATCGCTTGATGTCGTCCTCTTGTAAATAATCCATGCAACATATTAGAATATCTAATAAATTTAGGGTCGTCGCTGTGGTCGTCTATTACAATACAAATACTGAATAGCTGCTTTTGTTTATTCTTCTTTTGATATTCAATAACTTTCTTTTGACGATCTAATATTTTTTGTAGATCCGATGGATTAAACCCCTCGAAATACAAATCTTCTTTTGTATCGTCAACATTCATTACCTCTTTTTGTTTTTTTTTAACTTCATAAAAAGCAGGGTCTGAATTAACACTGGGACTAAAAATATAAAATCTTTCGAATGATCCACGATAAATATTTAATAAAAGGTTTTGAATTAGTACTGTTTTACCGCCCGTAGAACTGGCAACAACTATTGAACGAAACGGCAGAGACGGCGCCATACCATATTTACTTTGTTTATACTTGTATTCAGGAATATTTATTGGTTTTATTTCTGGAATATTAGACATTATTAATAATACATAGAAAAATTATATCGTTATTAATATATGGACGCTTCGGAGAAGACCTCGCGAGGCACTTGCGACAAATATATAGAAGTTATAAATGAGATAGAGAAATTAGATGAAATAATAAAACACCAAGATATAGAATGTGTTGTCATAGTTTGTTAGAATTCTTGAAAGCAGTTTGTTATTATTGTAAAAATGTTAAAAAAATCTAAATAGTTTAAATGGAAGATACAAAAGATGAAGGGATACATGTTAATAAAGATGGTGTTAATTGTTTATTTTGTAGATGTAAGAGAAATACATATCATAAAGAAAATATAACAACTACTGAAAATAATAAAGTAGTTGTTAATGTTGTTGAGGATCGGAGTAGTATTAAGTTTGGTAAAGGTAGGAATATATCGCCTGACGATGGAATATTTAAAACAGATGCCACACCACAAATGGGAGGCGTTGAACTATGTAGCACAGGATGGAGTGAAAACAGGAAAATAACACCTGAAGAATGCGAAGAACGACTTGATAAAATTGAAGAAGATGTTGAAAGGATTGATAAAGATATTAATAATTTAAAACAAAATTTAAATATTTTGGATTAATATTTAAGAATGTTTTTATATATAATAATGACAGATGTACAGTCTTTGTGAAACAGGAAAAGAAACTGAGTTTCTTTTGCTCTTGGGTTTATTTGAAACCCAACAGGAAAGGAAACAAATGCACCCCGTCTGGAAAAAATCAGTGCCCGTGCCCATGCATTGATTGAATGAACGCAGGAAGGGGGTAAGTACTGCGGTACATTCAATCGCACTTCATAAGCAAGTGTGTAATTAGTTTGGAAGTGTGCTTTTATTTATAATCTATATTAGATTATAAGTAAAATGTGTATATATGTTGATAAAATCATCGTATCGTTTGATATACGCAATACGAGAGAGTGTGAATTTGAAATGAATGATATAAAATACTTTTAAAAATGTTATCTAAAACTTTTATATAGTTATGAGTGATGTAGATGATGACATTAAAGAAACAAAAGCAACGCGATTTCAAAAGATATTGGATAAGTTAGAACTGATTGAAAAAGCAGGAAATAAACTTAATGAAGAGAAACCTAAACAAGTCAAAACACTAATGGATAAAGATAGTGATATTTATAAGAATAAAAGAAATGTTTATGTTAATAAACTAAACAACAAGGACATTAAGTTTCCAAAGAAAGAGACATTAGAATATTATGAGATTAAGTTTGACGACCAAGAGAGAGCGTATTAAATTAATTCTGTATTTTACAAAAACCATTTAAAGAAATATTATGTATAGATATTAGATAGTAAATGATTAGTCAGGAAGAACAGGAGGAAATAATTAACAAGTTCTTGAATGTTATTGAAATGAAAACAGTTATTAAAGATAAGGTGAGTATGTGTAAAAAGTGCAAGTTTAACCAACAGAATATGAGTTTGTATAAATTAAATATGCCTGATAATATTGTGAGAAGTATTTGTAAATATAATTATGAAGAATGTGAAGCGTGTAAAACTTTAAACGAGTTTAAGGAGAATGTTTATGATTGTAGTATGAAACAGTTTGAAAATGTGATTGAAGCAGTTGAAAATAAAGACAATATAGAAGAATATGAACCAACCAAATTAAACACACAAATATATTTCTATGTTAAATTAAATCCATTTCCTACATACGAAAAGACATGACGAGCGTTGAGAAAATATTTGACAAACGAAAACAAGTTTTATAATAATGAATTCTACAATGAGATTAAATCATTATACGATACTTCATTTAAATTTGATGAAAAAATGAAAAAATTTTACACTAAACAACGAAACAGAATAATTTATGAGTATGACAAGAATGTAGATAAAAGAATATGACAAAGATTAAATTTGTTAATCATCTCGGAAGAGAAATGAATAAAGTTGAAAGTGTAATTTATATAATTTTATCACATATACACAGCTATGAAGCAATAGGTAAATTAAAATATAAGTTGTTTTCAAATGAAACCAATGTATGGATTAATAAACGAATAGCAGAAGCACATTTTGAAGATGATTTTTCATTTGAAAGATTTATGGATGCCAGATACCCTTATTTATCCACAGTAGAATATAAGAAACAAAACCCAATAAGAAATGACACAGACTACCTCAAAAACATTGATGATTTCTTAACATAATATACTAACAATTAGTTTTGTTAATATATTATTCTATGTAAGGGCAGTTCCCAGTTCAGGGTTATGTGTTTTGGGGATTTTTCTATTAGGGTCTTACCCCATATCTCATATTGGGATATTGGTTATTTTATGGTTGAGGGTAGGATTTGTTTAGGTGCTTTGGGTTTTGGATTGTTGTTTGGATTGTTGTTTGGTTTTGGTGGGTTGCTTTGTTTCGGGATTGTTGCATTGGTTTTGGGAGGTGCTTTGTGTTTTGAGGGATTTAAGGGTTGAAATGTTAGGCGGGTTGAGAAATGGTGTGAAAGCGTAGGGGGGAGTATAGGATGTGAGGTGTGGGGTTAGCATCTGCTTGCTTTTAGGGCTGGTTACTTTACAAGGAAATCTTGAACCCAAGACAAGGGGAAAGGCTGCCACTGGGCTACCCAGGAGCCCAACCCAAAACCGAGCACGAACTCCAGGAACAGCCCGCGGCCCAAAACCCAGAAGCCCTGAACCCCCACACCCCTGGCATAGTGATATCGCACGGCCAACTGGGAAAGAGCCAGCTACAACGAAACTTGGCACAGGCACAGGAATCGCTGCGGGAAGCTCCATCACATGCCATCCTGCAACAAACAAGCCATGCGGTCTCGCGCGTGCAACAAGAAACCTGCTCTCCAGCACCTGTGGGTTGTCCAGCTGCTCCGGCTCTGCGTCGGTCTGGAAAAATGAGGCCTGGCTGACGCCGATGCTCCAGTCTACCCGGCGGTGACTTGCCGTTTGCAACGTCTGGGCAGCGGACATACCACAGCACCACGCTGTAATGGCCTCAATGCTGCTAGTGCCACGAGAAACAGGCGCAGGTCAATTCAAAAAAAAACTCTCAGATTGCCGCTTGCCTCGATTACTGCGCAAACCAAGCAGCTGTCGAAGAGATCGTGGGCCATCTCGCGCCATGTCTCAGGGTCTTCGTAGTGGAAGCCTCGGTGTTGTCACATGGCACCCCGTGAAGCTCAGCCAACCTCCCCGGGCGGCCCACACGTGAAACATCTGAGGAATCTGTGTCTCATGTGCATGAGAGCAGCTCTGAATGTGAGCAACGAAGGACTCAAAGGAGTGGCTCCACTCTTGCCACCACATGGTAGCCAAACAGCTAAAAGGCCAACAAAAAGCAGAGAACTTGGCTCGAACCAATTGTGTGCCCGAAAGCTGCGGCCACGCAGGGATAGCAACATGAAACGTCTTGTGGTCTCAAACTGGGCAGTGGTCAGCTCGCAAATTGCTCTTGTGAAACATGCTGCTTCGTACGATCCTTCATCCCCATCGCCAAAGCCTGAAATCATTGGGTGGAAACACCAGTTCTGCACCAGAGAGCTGTGTACCTCTGCCTCTCAACCCACCAATGCTCAGTAGAATCTGCAGTCCCCGACCTCCTTTTCCGCCCCAACCTCCAACCCCCCCCCCACACTTTCCCTCCCCGAAAGCACTCGCTTGAGCAATCGCTCGGTCATGTGCCAAAGCAAACCCCACCCACAGCCAACACATATACACAATTAAGCACTGGCATGCAATCAATGCCAATGTGTCACACTGCGCGATCGCTCATGTCGTCCGCAGACATATACGCACGCACGGCCTTGATGTTGGCCGAGCTGCTTACCGCAACCCTACTTGTGGCAACAGTTAGAATGGCGACCCAAGACGCCAGCGCATCAAGCGACACAGTCGGCTTCGCCAACATCATAACTTCAAGCGCGAAGCTGGCTATCCACATTGGCTGAAGAATGCGGACAGCCTGGAAGACCGGTCGGGTGAGCCCCACTTCCCTTGGTGCCCTCCACACGATGCGCTGCTCCAACAAGATCAGGCGTGACATATCGTTTATTGCACCAAGTGCGCACGCAACCGCCACAGCGAAGCAAGCAAGGCTTTGTAGCATCGCGGCAACCATGAATACCATTCCAGACAAAGTCGTCAACCAAACCGTGGGTGAAGACAAAGGTGTCTCTCCACACATGATGCTCAGCGATGCGATCGTTAGGGGCAGAGCCCCTGCGTGGATCAACGCGAGCAGCAAACACGAATCATGGGGCACGAGCTCCACGCCCCATGCACCAGATTCCAAAGTGAACCACGCTAAATTGCAAGCGCTGGCCATGAACATGGAGCCACCAGCAGCTCGGAGCGGCCATCGGGCTGGTAGGTTTGCGTGGGAGCTCCACACCTCATTGCCAGTCAGAAACAGAACCACAGCAAAAAGGCAGTGGCAGATCCCGGGCGGCCACTCGAATCCAAGCGCAGACAGTTTGACAGATTTCTCCACCCCGAGTTGCACACATGGCAGAAGGCCGACGAGGATTATAAGCCATAAATCTGCAGCTGCAGCGATCAAGTCCGTTTTGTAGACAAAGCCGACGGACTCCGAATCAAACATTGCAACGAGCTATAGCACAAAGCTACTAGCTACAGTCAGGGCAATGACACTACAATCTGCTCCTTGTCTTGCGGGAGCCGAATGGTGTGCACATGTAACACTGCGGTGTCCTGCTGCAACGGCTTCACCTGATGGTCGAAATGGATCGTCAACTGATGTTGCGTCATCTGCAGATGAAACGGAACATCTAACCAGCTGCTGTGAGCAATGCGCGTGCGACACCACCAACACGTACCGACACGTGCTCTGCGAGCGTCCAGAAACATACAGAATCTAACTTGCGCAAGGAATGCCCCTCGTGAAACAACAGCCAAGGCTGCCGACCGACGGCGCTAGCAGAGTCGGTTGGTTGGTTGGTGTCTATAGGGTTGAAAGCCAGGAGCCCTGGACGCCAAAGCAGCGCAACCATCATACTCCAGGCACTACCCCTATCTGGCTAGCACAACCTGGCTCTATCCGGGTCTTTCGAGGTTCGTGGTCAGGGGGCTGAGGTGAAGGTCTTGGTCTAGGGCGTCTAGGGGTTCAAGATGTGGAAAATTTAGGGCTTGTGAATCTATGATTGCAAATCCAGGTGCAGTATGAGCAGTTGCGATGCTGGTGAGCGGTTTGCACGTGTGCCCAGTCATAGAGAGCCCAAGGATTTTTCCATAGCCGAATCGAGTGGCATTGCCCCAAAATTTGCTGAAAAGGCGCCTTGTCGGCTCACGCTCTTTGGTGCAAATGCGTCGGCTTTCTTGCGCCGTTTCCTGGCTCCTTCTGCGCCGCGGTCGGGTCATCGGATACGAGTAGAGGCTTTTCGCACAAGTCCTCCCCGCGGTCTAGGATGTTCAAGTTGCCAACATCTCGGGGCCAGCAGCCAAGTACGCGACAGCGACGCTGGTAGATTTCACTTTTCACATGCACTGCACCACCTTCCAGCGCCGCCCATTTGTTGACATGGTTCAGTGGGCTGATGGAGGTCGGCACGAATGCACTACTACAGGCCAAGACTAACAACAAGACTTTGAGCTCAGCTTCAGGCAAGGACCAATCTGGTGCTCTCTTGTTTTCTTGAGTGTGGCTACGACTGTGACAACAACCGCCAGCAGCAGAGCAGTGTAGTGGAGAAGCCTGGCCCTTCGTCGAAAGATGGCTGGATTGTAGGAATATAGCAGGCGGTGTTCCCAAGCATGGCGCAGACGGTTCTCTTTACTCTTGGCATAGCCACAAACATTTCAGCATCACCACCTGTGTTGTGAAGACAGACCACATTCACGCCTGCCATAGCCTCCAACGCCCGGCTCAATGAGGGCTTTATTGCCACTTGTGGAAGTAGTGGCCCGTGTGGCCAGAGAACGCAGCTTGTCTCTTAATCTGTCAAGTGCCCGCAGCAAGGGCAAAAGACATCTTTGCGAAATATGGGCATGTACGTCCTGACACAGGCCCTCAACACTCAAATGAGTACACACAGGCATTGCGGTGATCTGGATTCGATCTGAAGTCATCTTTTGCCTATCATTGACCGTCCATGGGGATGACATCGTAAAAGAAGTCCACCCCTGAACTGCTGTTGAGAGCTCCACGCACTCCGTGTGCGCAAGTAGATGCCCACGCAGTCCGTTTGAGCGCGGCTGCAAGCACGCACAACCGCCAGCCGGACCATCCGTCGAAGAGCCCAATACCTTGTAAATAAGTAACATGCCTTGAACAGATATTCAGGAGCCCTGTATGATTTGAAGTATATGCCTTAATTACAATGTGAGGGGCTCTCTGGGTAGATCCTGAACGAAGGTGTCACGCTGGCACCATTCTAGCCCATCTTGCGAGTTCTCCGATCCCAACCAAGCTGCTGAAAGAGGCCGGGTCGCAGCCCCCAGTCCACGAACCGTTCAGGCAAGAGCGGGGCGCTTGGATACGATGAGGATGACCCAGCAGAACTCGATGACCGGGTAGTCGGTGACCACGCCCAAGCCCTCCACACCTAGGGTACGTTTTAGGGTTTGGGTTTATATCGTTTTGACTTTTTTGGGGGGGAGGGGACAGGGGGGGGTTTAGGGCTTAGGGGTTCGGGATTAGGGCTTAGGACGAAGGGTTTCGGGTTTAGGGCAAGCGAGCACGCTTACTGAGGGCTGCTGGGGGCTTAGGGTTTCAACTCTAAGCTTGCAAGTTCCCCAGGGCAGGATCCAAAAGGTAGAAGCCCCAAATAGTACCCCTCTACTACTATTGGGTTTAAGGTTTAGGCGGTTTAGGGTTGAGGGTGTAGGGTTTAGGGTTCAGGGTTGAAGGTTTAGGGTTTAGGCTTTAAGGTTTAGGGTTCAGCAGCTCTGGGTCAAGCAATCTCGAGTAGAGCAGCTGTTTCGAACCTAGAAAGAAGCCCACCCTCCCAGAGAATCCCAAAACATTAAGAAATATAAGGTCTGTATTTTCATCAGCAAACCCCGTCCCCACACTTCACTGTGTTATGGAGCGGTCCACCCCACCCTCGAACCACTCAATCGGCCTGCAGGAGGCGCGGTCACCGGGGCACCAATTCCAAAGCAACCACGTCAAAACAAGAAGGGGGGGCAGAGTGAACCAATAAATCAAAATCACTCTGGAGTTTTCGGGCACGAACAGCCAAAAAAACCTAACTTTATTTAGCCTCATGTTTTTTGTTCTAGGTCGAGGGAGCAACAAACGGTGGCATCCTCGTACAACCTCATTCATGCTTTTTGTTTTCGGGCACAAACAGCCAAAAAGAAAAGAAAACACTAACTTTTGCTGGCCTCGTGCTTCTTGTGTTCCCCAACACCACCCTGGTACCGGGTGCGACCGTGTTTCTTGTGTTCTGCACGAACAGCAAAAAACCACAACCCTAATTTTGTTAACCTCGGTTTCTTGTTTTCCCAACAGGCCGGAAACGCTCCGAAACAAAGCGGGGTGTGGCATCCTCGTACAATCGCACAAGTGATGTCAAGCAACCACATGAGTGTGCTTCAGACTGCAACTCGAGTGCTTGCCTCTTTTCGCTACTTCGAGCCAATCCCCAACCCGCCCTAGAACCAACTAGACATTGTTGGATTGACCAAAAAAACCAAATTTTGTTAACCTCCTTGTTCTTTGTTTTCCCCCACCCCACCCTCGAACCACTCAAGGGGGCCAGACGCAGGGTTTCGGAAGAGGCCGGGTTTGGGCGCACGCCCTGGAATGGGGGCCCAACTAAACTAATAGCTTTCAAAGTTCGGGGGGTAAGTGTTTTCAGCCTCCCTCCCCCCAGACACGATTCAAGGTCCAGACTCATTCGGGCGCCGCTTACCTAAACTTAAGCACCTACAGTAAACACTACAAACTCTGGGGTGTTGAGGCCTTCTTCGAACGTGTGACCTTCGTTGCTAAGCTGTGGGCTGTTTCAGGGCTTTTACGGCCCTGGGCCTTGGTAGCCCAGTAACCAGATCATAACAGGGTACCCTTTTTTGGGGTTGATTACTTTTTCAGCGTACCAGAAAAAGGGGAAAAGGTGCCACTGGGCTACCAAGGAGTCCAGGAAGCGAGCTGCACCTGTAGAAACCGGACCCCTGCTCTCCAACCCCAGCCCCCGCAACACCCAAAACCGAACTCGAACTCCAGGAAGAGCCCAAAACCCAGAAGCCCTGAACCCCCAAAGAGTGACATCGCGCGGCAAATTGGGAAAGAGCCAGCTACAACGAAACTTGGCACAGGCACGGGCATCGCTGCGGGAAGCTCCATCACATGCCATCCTGCAACAAACAAGCCATGCGGTCTCGCGCGTGCAACAAGAAACCTGCTCTCCAGCTCCTGTGGGTTGTCCAGCTGCTCCGGCTCTGCGTCGGTCTGGAAGAATGAGGCCTGGCTGACGCCGATGCTCCAGTCTACCCGGCGGCGACTTGCCGTTTGCAACGTCTGGGCAGCGGACGTACCACAGCACCACGCTGTAATGGCCTCAATGCTGTTAGCGCCACGAGAAACAGGCGCAGGTCAATTCTAAAAAACTCTCAGATTGCCGTTTGCCTCGATTATTGCGCAAACCAAGCAGCTGTCGAAGAGATCGTGGGCCATCTCGCGCCATGTCTCAGGGTCTTCGTAGTGGAAGCCTCGGTGCTGTCACATGGCACCCCGTGAAGCTCAGCCAACCTCCCCGAGCGGCCCACACGTGAAACATCTGAGGCATCTGTGTCTCATGTGCATGAGAGCAGCTCTGAATGTGAGAAACGAAGGACTCAAAGGAGTGGCTCCAATCTTGCCACCACATGGTAGCCAAACAGCTAAAGGGCCAACAAAAGGCAGAGAACTTGGTTCGGACCAACTGTGTGAGCTGCGGCCACGCAGGGATAGCAACATGAAACGTCTTGTGGTCTCAAACTGGGCAGTGGTCAGCTCGCACCGTGCTGCTTCGTGCGATCCTTCTTCTCCTCTCTCTCCCTCTCCCTCTCCCTCTCCCTAGGCCGAAGCCCCCGGGCGTCATCGCCCGCCCCTGTTTCCGGAGCGGTACGTGGGTTCAGTTGGAGACGGTGGTGTGAAGTTGCGTGCTAGATGCCCCCCAGTAAACCCCCGTCTCTCTCTCTCTCTCTCTCTTTCTCTCTCTCTCTCTTTCTCTCTTTCTCTCTTTCTCTCTTTCTCTCTCTCTCTCTCTCTCTCTCTCTCTCTCTCTCTCTCTCTCTCTCTCTCTCTCTCTCTCTCTCTCTCTCTCTCTCTCTCTCTCTCTCTCTCTCTTGAGGCATTCTCCAAATCTCTCGCAGCACATAGATGTCGAGCAAGATCGGGGTAAGCGCTTGTGTGTTGAAGCATTCGGAAAATGTACAGTACACAGACGTCAGAAAATCGGGGTAAACGGTCGTGAGAGTCCTAACATGTCCTACCAGCCGATAAAAACCCAACCCCTTCAAATCGACCCGAACAGGGGGTTGCATTCAATTCAAAAAGATGGAAACCATACAGGCCATACACTTCAACATGTTGCAACGAAGAAGGCCCAAAAAGATAGAACCCAATCGCCCAAAATTGACCCGAAACAGGGGGGTTTG